CTTCACGTGGCGGAGGGGCTAGAGGCGAGGGTGGTGCGAGAGTTGCTGTCCGAGCGTGCGGAAGAGGACCACGCTGCGCGTCAAGAGGCAGAGGACTTCCTGCTGGGTACGGTGGACCTCACGTTCAACTTGCCAGACGCCTTCGAGACGACTCTGGCGTCCCACGAGCTAAGTGAATCCCCCATGAGCAAGCGTCCGAGTGAAGTAGAACCCCCCCCCGTGACCGTAGCCGGCGTTGCCGAGTCGGTATATACAGAGAGGGGTGGGAACAGGCCATGAGGGAAGAGTTTGAAGGGCACTTGGGCACGGGGACGTTTTCATTCGTAGACGGTGCGCCAGAGGGGCGCAGGCCTGTGAGCTCAAAGTGGTGTTTTAGTTGGAAGACCAACAAGGAAGGGAAGATAGACACGTTCAAAGCGCGTCTGGTTGCTAGGGGGTTTTCGCAAATCCCGAACGTCGATTATTTCCATTCGTCTTCCCCTTGCCCCTCATCCGCATCCATTAAGCTGATGCTTGCGGTAGCNGAGACAAGTTCAAAGCGCGTCTGGTTGCTAGGGGTATTCGCAAATCCCGAACGTCGATTATTTCCATTCGTCTTCCCCTTTGCCCCTCATCCGCATCCATTAAGCTGATGCTTGCGGTAGCGAACGAGAAGGGCATGAACCTCAATCACTGGGATGTGAAGCAGGCGTATACACACGCCACACTAGGCGAGGAGGTTTTTCTGAGGCTCCCCGCTGGGTGCAGGGACAAATCGCATAACATTGGTAAGGCTGAGCGTGCGCTTTACGGTCTGAAGCAGAGCGGTAGGCAGAGGGTGTACTACGCTTCTGATACGCTAGTCGAGAACGGGTTCGAACAGTGCAAGGCGGACCCGTGTGTCTTCCGCAAGATGGTAGACGAAGTCGTGGTGATGATTATCGTGATTTATGTGGATGACATTTTGGTGGCTGGGTCTGACGAGGATCGCGAGGAGTTGCTTGCTTCTCTCAACAAGAAATTTCCCACCAAAAACCTTGGAGAGTGTCAATGGTTTGATGGGTGTGCCATCGAGATAGATGTAGATGCTGGGACTCTTAGAATCTGCCAAACCGTACATCGACAACATGGTTGAACGCTTCGATGTGCAATAGACTTCCCGCATCCCCGCCACCCCTGGTACCGATCTAGGGCCGAAGCGAGAGGATGAGGAGGGAGGGGAGTGGCCGGTGAGGGAGGCTATCGGCAGCATGATGTGGGTGTCGACTTTCTCGCGTCCAGAAGTGTCGTTCGCCGTGCGTGCGGCAGCGCGCCATGCCCACGCCCCGGCGAAGAGGCACTGGGATGCCATCCAGAAGATCCTCGGCTACTTAAAGGAGACGAGGGACCTCGGCATCACCTA